AAATTATGCCTACTACAAAATAAAATATTGGTCATATGCCCAAAACCATCCTAGCTGAATGGTAGTTAACATCTCTGTATTTCCATCTATACGTTTAGGAGACTTCCTTCTATTCCTCCAAGAGATAGAAGTAGCACCATCCCAAGATAGAAGTAGTACCATACCTACATGATTTTAGGGAAATATACACATCCATAGAGGCTCCTCCTAATCCTGTTAGAAGTAGACAACATATAAATAATATAGTATTAAATACTATTATACTTGAACCTAATGCCTCCTAGTATGTATTGTAATTTATACAGAAGGAACATAAATATTATAAAGAACCCAAATCAGACTGAGTGCCCAAACTTGTTTGGGCCTTTCTGGATCGTTTTTACTGGGATGGAATTCCGCATAGGCTAGAACTAGTGAGACTTATGACCCTACATTCCAAATAAGGCGGGAGTATCTGGCAAGAGGTTCTCTTGCTAACAAATGCTGTGGTGCCTTTGCACTGGACCTCAGACGTTCTGAGACCTTTATGGAGAGTACCCTTAGTAAAGACATGCAAGCATGTCATCACCTCTGTTTCTACAGAGTCATACTAGGAGACAGGTCTACTTCAGACAGTCAACCCTGTCACAGCTGGACACTGTAGAACATGGTAACTCTCATAGTGCTCCCTAGCCTCCTTAGAGTTCTGGTGGCTGAAAAGCAGTGGTTTTTTGTTTTTTGTTTTGTTTTGTTTTTTTAAGACCTCTCACTCTGTAAGGACTCCACAGTATTTCAAGCCAATTCCTGCCATAATAAGATAGCCTCTGGTTCATTACCTGCTCTATCCCAGCAGTTGTTTGTATAGAGTCACAGGAATCTATTTTTGATGTGCAGTTGCATTGTAGTGCAGCTGTTCTTCAGACATAAACATTTCAAGCCAGGTATCCGCAAACTATAGCCCATAGGCCAAATCCAGCCAGCAGTCTGTTTTTGTCTGCTTGCCAGCTAAGAATGATTTTCTACATTTTTTAAAGGGTTGTAAAAACAAAGAACACCTGACAGACACGTGACCCACACAGCCTAAAATATTTACTATCTTGTCTTTTATGGAAAAAGTTTGTCAACCCCTGCAAACTTAAGTTCCTAGTTCCCTGACCTCCACATGTACCAACAGCAGACACTGACTATCATATGAGACTGTGAAAGAAACAGAAACTATTCTGAGGTCCTCTTACAAGAAAAGCCTCAAATTATTCATCTTCGTTCAAGAAACTCTGTTGCATGTTACCTGAGCACTCAGAGATGTGAGGCATTGCTGATGCTATAAGATGCTCTGCCAACCTTAGGAAGCACAGGACACCCAGCAAAGGGTGGCAGGGCTTCTCAACACCCTTCTAAGAGAGAGCCCTATCATCAGGGAAACCCTCAGCAATACCTGCTTATACTCCATGAAGAAATGCCTCACCCTTCCAGAACTCCTCCATGCTACCCTTAGCCTCTTAGGCTGCCTTCACTTCCAGCCAGATGTCATCATTGTCCTCCCAGCAAATCTCCACATTCTGGTTTCCTAGTTTGGTGATAAAACACACACACACACACACACACACACCCAGGACTCAAGGAATCTGAAGGTATGAATGCTAGAAATCCATTTTTAACAAGCTCTCCAGGTTATTCAACTAGCCAGGCATTGATCTGCAAACTCCAAAATCACTGTTCAGATTTTTCTGTTTCTCATCCTCATTGTAATATCCCTATCCTCATCCTTCTCCTGGTACTATTTCCTGGTAATTGGTACTAAGTTCACCAGAGGCTCCTGGAAACAGTGCCTTAACCCAGAAGCACGATTCAAGTGATAGGTTTTGTGAACATGTAACACGCAATGAGGATGGCTAAAGAGAAGGGAGCCCAGAGAGGCTATCTGTAAGGCAGGTCTGGGTTATTAGATCACTGGAGCTGTCCACATTTGCTTCTTCTTAGGTGTTCTCCTAGTTACAGGAGAATTCGTGGAGAATTTTATTTAAATGATCCCCCAGAGAGATTCCCCCCACACCCAGCAGCATTAAGTTTCACAAAGTGCCATTCTTGAAACTGAAACCATAATTTGCAAAATTGCTGGCCTTAAGGCAGCCTAATAACTTTTCTGACTGAGAATAGCCCTGGTCTGGGCAGATCTGTTCTCTAATTGATGAAATCAAACTGCTTCAGTCTGGTGACCTGTATTGATAAATTTTCTTAGATGATTACCAATAGCATTCTGTTTTAAAAATAATGAAAACTGTAGGACTATCTAGCCCAATTCTTCCACTTTGAAATTGGCATTTTGCCTTCAAAACTGAGTACACTCAATAAAAGCACAGATTACTGGGTACGGTGGCTCACACCTGTAATTCCAGCACTTTGGGAAACTGAGGCAAGAGGATTGCCTGAGCCCAGGAGTTCGAGACCAGCCTGGGCAACATGGCGAGAGCTCGTCTCTATAATAAATTTTAAAATTAGCCAGACGTGGTGACACGTGCTAAATCCCAGCTACTTGGAAGGCTGAGGCTGAAGGATCGCCTGAGGTCAGCAGGTTGAGGCAGCAGAGGTTGTCATCATGCCACTGCACTCCAGCCTCGGTGACAGAATGAGACTCCAACTTAAGAAAAAAAAAAAAAGCACAGATCAAATTCTGCCTTTAGCAATAACCAAGACAGTGCCTAGTTTTATGTTAGTATTTTGTTTGATAGGAAAAGATTGAAAATGTTTCGTTTAAAGGACATATTTATTGTAGCATGGTTAACCTGTATATAGAGCCACAGAAACTTAAAATGTTTGTACAAGCTAGAATAATATTGATGGTAACTGGCAGCTATCTGCTTTTAAAAGTCACATGGATTACCTTGAGAATAACTTCCAGAGAGTACAAACTAGGGTAATGAACCCACGCACCTATTCTTTTCTGAAAATCAACAAATTTGCATCAAAATTTTCTGGACTATTCACCTTGTGCTAAATCAGTCTGGAAATTGAATAGTTACTCAACTTCCATGGGAAAACTAATGTACAGCTAAAAAGACTTTTTAAAGAAAGCTCTGTTTCATTTGTTTAACATTCCAACTATAGCCAATTATGATTTATACCATTATAATAGCAATAACCCATAGTAAATTTCCCAGTTAAGTTTGAATCCTACTTTTAGGACTACTTTTATTCAGACTTTGCCCTGGTAGCAAACTGATGAATTGAGTTTCCTTTCCTTTTCTATCTCCCTTCCCTTCTCTGTCCTACTCTGTACATCTGAGTGCTCTAAATGGTATATGCTGGAAGGACCCAAGCAGCAATGTCCAAAGGAAACTGATTAAGCTTCCAAACTAATCAGAAGTCAAAGCAGAGGCTCCACCCAGTTTAGGAGTCCGTGCAGTCTGTACAGACTGCAAGGATGGACACCTTCAAGGCTATCTCACATGTGCAACAGTTGCATTTGTGAATGATTTTCAGAACATATCCTCCTTTTCCCTTCATGGTAGCCTCAGGGTTGCTTGTTTTGGGAACAGGATGGCTTTCACACATAGAGAAAGTTCTCAGGTATCCCAAAGAATGAGTAATTGCTTGTCATGAACTAATCTTCCCCACTTGAGCCACAGAGTTTTTTTGGTTTTGTTTTTGATGGTTGGGCTCATTCTGTAATAAGAAATCACAGTGTTTTTAAGAACTTTCATTATGCAACCAAGTAACGTGATTGCAACATTGCACCCCTGGGATAGAAAGTGGCCTTAAGAATGGCAGGACTAGTCATGAAGCCTCACATATGTGCCAGTCCTGGTCTATCCTGGTCTATCCCTGTTTCATGCATGAGAGATACTCAGACACTTTCATAATTAGAATCAGTGCAGAAAAGAGAGCATTGTCATGTAGCTCTGACCAAGCCATAAAGCTCACTTACTAACCAAAAACAAGCCCTGTTTCTGTCATTGTGATTCCAGGTAATAAGCATATTTTTATGTACTAGTTTTTCTAAGAATGAAGTGGAAAGAATATCTGGCTTCTGAATTGACTTGTTTTACAATTGTTCCATCACCTTTCATTTGTTTCTTCAGGTTAATACATCTTCACTTTGGTCTTAACCTGTTTTCCTTTGCCTTCTTCTTCCTTTGAAAATTTTTTTTCTCCCACAGATCTTACTATATATATTTTTAAGGTCAAAATCCCTTCTTTAGAACATGTGAATAAAACGGTCATGTTACAGATTTAAAAACTTAGAGCAGCCTAAATAAACACTTGTACATGAACAGGCAACCCTGTCTCCCTCAGCTCATCCCCCTAAAAGGCAGATGTGACCTGGGTCATTTTAGACTTACAGTTTGAGCTTCTCCTGCCCAGTCTTGAGCAGCAGAGATGGGAAAAATGGACTTGGGGTCAAAGCACAGGAAAGCAACAAAAGCACATCAGGTTGCCCCACTGCCTTATCATCTATGCTTCTAGAGAGTGATTTATCAGGACACTTGCAAACAAGTAAAAGAAGAAGTAACAAGTAGTCCAGTGACCTCTGTCTGACATTCAGCAGGGAATAGGACTTGGACCAAAGCCTCCAGAAGGAAGGAAAAGTAGTATATTTTTAGTCAGACTCAGAAGAGTTGGAGGTTGAAAAAAGAAAACCTATAACACCTATAAGTCTATAGAAGATAAATTTTTTGAGGGAAAAGACATAGACATAGATTAAAATAAGTGTTATTCCTATTGATTCTAGAATCTTTCTTCTTTAGGAGGCTTAGATTATAGCCATTCCTCTGGAGAGGAGATAGTTTGAACACCTACAATCTGAGAGAACACCTTTAGAATTCAGACTTAGAGAACACATGACTAACAAACTTGAGTACTGCTTCATTGGTATTGGTGGAATGTCCATCATTATTAACCAAGCTTGGAATGCTCTAAGCACCACCTGAACCCCAGAGGTTCCTAATGCTAGCCTGGTCCTTCATGCAAAGGGGGCAGTACAGCTTCTGTAGTCATAGGACATGGCATTTTTTTCCCCACAGGTGATATCCGCAATGACCTGTACCTAACCCTGGAGAAGGGAGATTTCGAGAGAGGGGGAAAGAGTGTACAAAAGAATATTGAAGTGACCATGTATGTGCTTTACGCAGATGGAGAAATCTTGAAGGTAAAGCTTTCCAGTCAGTCATTTGGAATAGAGGCTAATCCTGTAATAATCCTTTGTGGACTTTGTCCAGAGGCCCATTCCCTTCAAGTAGAACTGAATTCAAATCATCCCATACGCATTTTTCTCTGCCTTTTTCTTTCTTGAAGGAAACCCTACAGTGTTATACAGCCTTTGTAGAAATTCTTTCTAGTGTCTGACCTGAATCCTTCCTGCTCCAATTTGAACCTATTCCCTATAGTTCTGCCCTACATGTTACCTCTTCTACCATTTCACCTAGGATAGAACTGTCTACTTTTGGTAACTGTTATTAGGTCCCACTCTGCCTTTTTACTTCTTGAGCTAATACAGAAAATTATATTTGAACTTTGGTTGAGGGTGGGACTTAGACACTAACTTGCTGGTACCACTTATAGAACAAAGAACAGCAGACTCTGGCTCTGGAAGATTGAAGCCAATGTAGCACAGGTATCCTCTATCATTCTTCATTGAAAATGAAGACTTGGAGTGCAGTTTTTCTGTTGTCATTATCTCAGTTTGTCCCTCAGTCATATCATGCTGAAGTCCTTGGTGAATAACAAGACACCACTTGTAGTACACTTGGTAGAAAGCAATTTTTACAGACCTTGCTTTTATGTGTTGGCAGTAGCCCTGTAAGATAGGCAGAACCGGAATGACCATCCTCATTTTATAGAAGGAAAGGTAAAATTAGTCAAAATTATCTACCAAATCAAGACAGAAAAAAGAATGTCAAAATTATGGTATAAACAATTATTTGTGTATCATTTTTAAACCTAACTGAAGGATTTAGGCGTGTTCATTATTTGCAAGGAAAATGCCTAAGGCAGGAGAGCTGTCACATCACCCCTGTGTGGACAGGGAACTGCTCCTGATTGTGTTGCCCAAAGCTTCCTTTCCTCTGGGGCAGGGGTATGGGCCGCCCGCGGTCTGTATCTTCATGCCAATATTTTGGAAACAGGTTAAGTTAAATCTGGCCTAACTTGTTTATGTCCAAAGAAAGTTAGCCAAGGGCAACCTACAATTCCAGTCCAACATTGGGCTGAGGAAAATTAGAAAACAGGTTGTCTTCACATTGTAACTTAATTTTTTTTCTGATCTGGTGAAATGTTACACATAGTTAATTCTCTTATGGAGCTTGTTGTTTCCTTTTTTAGTGAGGATGAAGAGCCTACCTTAGAGATTCAGATGCACCACCCAGCTTCCCTCTAGTTTGAGCAAATGTGTTTGTCTGCCTCAAGAAAAACAAGGAGCATTGTGACTGCTAATTCTTTATACCATCTACATAACTGCTTCCAAAAGTACTGAATTTAAGTCAAATGCATTTTCTCATCTCATAGATTTTGCCTGGTGCAAAAATGAGATCTTTAGACAAGAGAAAGTAAAGTATTCTAGTGAAGCAGAGAAATCCAAGGAAGTTGACATCCTACTTTGTTTCTCTCTTCCAGGATTGCATCAGCTTGGGTTCAGGAGAGCCAAATAGGAGTTCCTACCACTCCTTTGTCCTCTACCATAGTAATAGTCCTCGTTGGGGAGAAATTATCAAATTGCCCATCCCGATTGACCGGTTCCGGGGCTCCCACCTGCGCTTTGAGTTCAGACATTGTTCCAGTGAGTGAGACTTCCCTCCCCATTCCCTTGTGGCTATTAATATAACTCTCTCTTCTCTGGAACAGAACTAAGTGGGTTCTTATTACTAGGGCAAGAAGACAAGGAGTTGGGAGTAAATGGGTTCTCAGAGACGGGATGTCATCAGAGGCTGTTCTTTGGACTGTCAAAGAAGCGATTTCAAAAACCATGAGATCTGGTATTGGCCCTTCCTAGTATCTGCCCTAGTATCTGAAATTAACCATTGTCTTTCTTCTTTAGGTATTTCCTTTGTACCTATTAAACTGCTTCTTAAAGAGCCCTTGGTTCATCAGGACTGCCATTTAGTTTCTGTTTGAGTCTACATAGCCTGTAAAACCTTGGGGTATAAGTGAAAACTCATTACAGTGCTATTTTTTTTTTTTTATCATTCCTGCAGTCAGGTTGCTACCTAGTTAATGAAAGAAGTAAGGGGCAAAAGAGCATAGGTGATAAGCACAAGAGGAATGTCTTAGAAAGCAAAGTAAGGATTAAAATAACTAATACTTGGCTCTGATTGCAGCAAAGGACAAAGGGGAAAAGAAACTCTTTGGCTTTGCATTCTCACCCCTGATGCGTGATGATGGCACCACCCTTTCAGATGATATTCATGAGCTTTATGTGTACAAGGTATGGGGACTATCTTTCTGTCATTCTTACTGCTCATCCCCCTAAGGCCACTCTCACACATGGTTCTCAAGTGGTTTTCATTGGGCAGGCCAGAGGATCCATGGCAATGCACTGAGGAGTGACAACAAGATCGGGCTGGCTTTTGTCTTCTAAGTGCAGTGGACTTCCTCCTAAAAGTAATACCTACAGATTCTTTGTTTCCTACCTTTCACTCCACTGGATGAAAATCCATTACCAACCTTTCTGTGCCATTATGGTCTTGGCTACTACATTCTGAGTCCTGGTACTGTCAGCTATTATAGCAGAGCTGCTACCCAAGGTTACTTGCATACCAGCCGGAAGCTACATGCCCTACCGTGTTCTGTTTAAAAGGCACATGAACTGTCCTTGGAAGTTTCTGAACAGAAAGCACTCTTCCAAGAGGACCTAAGGCTCAAGTTTTAGCCTTAGGAAGATGAGAGCAAATATCAACCCAGAAATTCCCTGGGACATGGTTTTTTCATGTGGCATGGCTCAAGAAACATTCTCTGTTCTCTACTTTTGCCTACAGTGTGATGAGAATAGCACATTTAACAACCATGCTCTGTACCTGGGCCTGCCCTGCTGCAAAGAGGACTATAATGGCTGCCCTAATATCCCTTCTAGCCTCATCTTCCAGCGCAGCACCAAAGAGTCTTTCTTCATTTCCACTCAGCTCTCCTCTACCAAACTCACCCAGAACGGTAGGTGATGATGCCTGCAGGGTGGTGCCCTTCACTGTCCTCAGTTATTTATTCCACATTGCTAGTGCATGTTAAGGGAGGCAGAAATTATTCCTTCTTTGTGCCACAAAAATGGGCTTCTTTTCATTTAAAGTTGAAGGAATTACTTGGTGATAGCAGCCTACAGAATTTTCCTAGTTTTAGTACTTCCACAGTACACAGCCAGGGTTCATAGATATGTATTTGACCTTGATGTTAGCACTAAAGAGTCTGTTGTGGCCGGGCTTGGTGGCTCTGCCTGTAATACCTGCACTTTGGGAGGCCAAGAAGAGTGGATTGTCTGAGCCTGCAGGTTCAAGACCAGCCCAGGCAACTTGGTGAGACCTCATCTCTACAATAAATAGAAAATTAGCCGGGCATGATAGCATGTCTGTAGTTCCAGCTACGTGGAAGGCTGAAGCAGAAGGATTACCAGAGCCCAAAAGGTCTACGCTGGGGTAGCCATGAGCATGCCACTGCACTCCAGCCTGGGTGACAGAGTGAGACGCCAATTCAAAAAAAGAGTCTGTTGTGATGCTTGCAGCTAATTCTGTTCCTCTAGATTCCATCTGTCCTTAATTGGGAGAGTTTGTTCCTTACTTGACCTTAGACTAGCCAGGGTTCATCATCTTTTGGTCTTGCTTTCTAGTGGACCTCCTAGCTCTGCTGAAATGGAAGGCATTCCCAGACCGAATCATGGATGTACTAGGGCGGCTGCGGCATGTCAGTGGGGAGGAAATTGTTAAGGTATGTCTTCCACATAATTTGAACATACTTCCTGAAGAAGAATCTTGGCAGAAGACCTTACTTCCTCATGATTTGTGCCAGTAAACCTCTAAGACAATTTCTCCAGTTGGCTTTTTGTTTTGTTTTTGTTAGCATTTTTTGAATATTTTTATTTTTAATGTTATTTTTAATTGGCAAATAATAATTGTTTAAAATAATTGTATATGTTTATGGGGTACAATATGATGTTTTAACATATGTTTATAAAGTGGAATGATTAAATCAGACTGATTAACAAATCCATCACCTAACAGTCTTATCATTTTTTGTGGCAAAAATATTTAAAATCAACTCATTTAGCAATTTTGAAATATACAATACTTTATCATTAATTATAGTATTATTAATGCACTATTCTCTGCAGTAAATCACTATAGTTTATTCCTCCTGTCTAACTGTAACTTTGTACCCTTTGATCAACATGTCCCCTTTCCCCATCCACCCCTCTCCCCAGCCTCAGGTATCCCTCATTCTACTCTCTACTTCTGTGAGTTCAACTTTCTTAGATTCCACATATAAGTGAGATCATGTGGTATTTGTCTTTCTGTGCCTAATCTGTTTCACTTAGCGTAATGTCTTCCAATTCCATCCATGTTGTTGCAAATGACAGGATTTCCCCCTTTTATGCCTGAATATTCCATTTTGTATGTATGCCACATTTTCTTTATCCATTCATCTACTGATAGATGCCTAGTTTGTTTCCATATCTTAGCTATTGTGAATAATGCTACAATGAAAATGGGAGTGTAGACATCTCTTGAGCATACTGATTTCAATCCCTTTGGATATATATACCCAGTAATGGGATTGCTGGATCATATAGTAATATTATTTTTAATTTTCTGAGAAACTTCCATACTGTTTCCATAGTGGCTATATTAATTTACTTTCCTATGAACAGTATACAAGAGTTTCTTTTTCTCCATACCCTTACCAACATTTATCTTTCATCTTTTTTACAGTAGCCATTCAGACAGGTTGAGATGATATCTCATTGCGGTTTTAATGTATTTCCCTGATGATTAGTGATATTGAGCATTTTTTTCACTTATCTATTGACCATTTGTGTGTCTTCTTTTGAGAAGTGTCTGTTTGGGTCCTTTGCATATTTTTTGTACTGGATTGTCTTAATATGGAGTTGAGTTTCTTATATATTTTTGGCTGTTAGCTCCTTTTCAGAGATACATGGATTGGTAAATATTTTCACCCAACTCATGGGTTGTCTCTTTTCTCTATTGTTTCCTTTGCTGTGCAAAAACTTTTTAGTTTGGTGGAATACTATTTGTTTATTTTGGCTTTTGTTGCCTTTGCTTTTGGGACCATATCCAAGAAATTATTATTTTGGATTTTTTTTAAAGTTTTTTGTTAGCTTATCTTTTTAAAAAAATTATGAATTATATCAGGTTGATTACATTTTTCAAACTATATTTAGGTTATAAACCCTATTTTCTGTTTTTCTTCCCAGAGAGCAACATGATAAAGAGTGGTGGTAAAAGCATTCTCTCAGAAACAATCCCAGTGCTTTTTGCTTCCTATATTCCTTTAGGTCTCTTCTCCTTTCTCATTTTCCTTATTTTGTAATCTTTACCACAAACCTAGCATGATATCTTTCTGACTCTACTCACCCGATTATAAGAACTCTAAATACTATGTGCTAACTTGTAGCTGCTGACTTTGCCCAAGCTCTCACTTGGATTCCATACTAGAGAACCCTTTCTTAGACCTATCTTAACTGCTGTCTCCTGGTACCTTTGTGACATTTCCCATCAACCCTAGCAGGCTGATGTCAATACTGACAGTCCCCAGCTGTCTTCATAGGCCTCTCTGGACAGAGTGTTTGCTCACCTGTTTTTAGCACAAGGAAACCCCCAAGAACTTCCTGGTGGTAAAAGCCCATCAGGTGATTCCTCCACAGTAGACTGGACTCTACAGAGGAAAGTGGAGATACTTTTAGTCTTTGGTAAGAGCAATGAAATTTAGGCTACAGATTAAATTTCAAGAAGGCATCCTGTCTACAATGAGCATTCTTAGCTCTGCAATCACAAGTATCCAATCAGTTGGCACAAATGTATCATCTGTACTTGCAGTTCATGGCTTCACTGACCCAGAATACACAGCACAGTATCTCCAAACAAGAAATAGTTCCAAAGTCTGTGTACATTTATGAAGTTGATGTGGGAATTTTGTTTTAATTAATTAATCATATTGTCATAAACATTTTAACGCATCACAAACATTCTAATGCTAGTTTTGAAACATAAGATTCTACTCTTATTTTATTTCTAAGCATATTAAAAATATCAACCAATAAACAAACAAGCTATTAAGAAGTTTGTGATCTTTTTAGGAGTGAGCTGTTATGTTTCTGAGAAGAGAACATCCTTCCAGCATATCTGGTTTTAATATAGATAATTTGTCTCCAGCTAGCCAGAAGAGAATGTGCTAGCATTTTGAGATTCTTAAAAACTTTTTATTGAAAAATTTCAAGCATACACAAAAGTACAAAGAATAGCATAAAGAACCCTACATTTATCTCTTACCCAGCCCAGGTAACCATTAACCCATGGCCAATCTTGGCCCGTCATTATTACCCCATTCTACACCTTCTACCTCATATTGTTTTGAAATAAATTACAAACATTGTATCTTTTAAATTGGGATTTGATTGGAAGAATGTTAGACTTGATTTTTAAAGACTGCAAGCACATCCATCAGGGTTTATTAATCTCTTCCTTTGCTTTTCATCTCAAAAATAATAATATAAAGACACATGCTCAAATAACAACAAAAAAACACTGCCACATTTTTTTACCCCTATTGACAACCTTCATTGGCTGCATTCTCCCTTCTCCTGTTCTTAGATGTGAAGAGTGTCTACAGGCAAAGCTTAGTTTGCCACACTCTTACCCAAACATACTCTATATAGTTAAGCTGCAGTAGAGAGCAAGGGGCTACTGAACTTTTGGGGGTCCCAGGAAAGTGAACTCTTTTTCCCAAAATGAATTTGGCATCAGGATCACTTAGATTGTTTTTGTTTCGAAGTTGCGCTTCTGCACTGCTGGTGGGAATGCAGACTAGTACAACCTCTTTGGAAGACAGTGTGGCAATTTCTGAAAGAACTAGAAATTGACCTTCCATATGGCCCAGCAATTCCCCTATTGGGAATATACCCAAAGGAACTCAAATTATTCTACAAAAAAGATACCTGCGCACGTATGTTTGTTGCAGCTCCATTCACAATAGCAAAAACATGGAACCAACCGTGTTGCCCATCGAAGCTGGGCTGGATTTAAAAAATGTGGTACATATACATAATGGAATATTATGCAGCCATAAAGAAGGACAAATATATAGACTTTGCAGCAACTTGTATGGATTTGAAGTTGATTATACTCAGTCATTTATTACAGAAACAAAGAACAGAGTTCCATATGTTCTCACTCATAAGCAGACCTTGAGCAATTATAATGCTATAAGAAGGCGACTGGCAGTAGTGGGAAACTGTCAAGGGAGTGGGGTGGGATTGGAAATTGAGGGAAACTGCTAGGGGAGGGAGGGGCATACCTCATCAACAAGGATACCTGCATGATCAATGTTTATATATACCTAACTCTGAAATGTACCCCATGTCTTTATAATGAAAAATTTTTTTAAAGTTGCTATTTTGCATGGGTATTATATGTTTTTAGGTAATTGCTTTTTCCTTAGAAGTTTAACACTTACCCAACAGGAAGATCCTCCTCTCTCAGGACCCTTTGGGCTATAAGCAACACCTCAAGTCCACTTAGTTATCCCTTAGCTAAGTGGAGGCACAGAGTACTAGATGATTTTTAAGTGGCGTTTAGAGATCCTATAAGATGTTTCACTTTTCTTATTGGGAGCTAAATCCATTGGTTTGGTGTATGGAAGTTTGATCGTGCATCCAACGTTCTGAGGCCTGAGCTCTCTGTTTTTCCTGTTGTTTCAGTTTTTACAGGACATCTTAGATACACTCTTTGTGATTTTGGATGATAATACAGAGAAATACGGCCTCTTGGTTTTTCAGTCTCTGGTAAGTCACCTTCCTGACTTTTTATTATTCCTGTCACATATTTCAAAAAATTTAAGGGAAGCAGTGCATTAGAATGAGTCAGCACAAATGTAAATATTTCCAATAGAATATGGACTGAAGAGTGTCACCTAAGGAAGACCAACTAACCTACCAAGCAGATCCCTCCAAGATTAAATTTGAAGAATTCGGCATGGTCTGCTCCAGACCGTGGCTTTATAGTTCTAGATACTCAGCCTCATCACTACAGGGTTGCCTGGCCCCTGAAATAGTGACCCCATTAGCCAGAAACTCGTAGACTAATAGAGGAAACCAGATGGCCCATTTTTTCACTTATAAAGTCAGATATAACCATCGGGAAAAGCAGACTTACTCATGCTGGTCTCCAGAGACCTATGCAGTTCCAGAGGTCTCTAGATACTGTCTCCTTCTCTGCAGTTGTTTTGGAACCAGGGTCTCATAAGGTTGGTTAATGAAAATGAACAGCAATTTGAATGTGTAATGCATTTTGTTTAATATGTCTAAGCCCACAAGAAGGCTATCTATTCAAGGAGAGCCATATACTCTGGTCTGCCTGATAGATGGGGACAGAGGCGAGTTGGATTGGGCATTTGCATAGTTTCCCCCTCTGGCTCTTCTTTCTCACTTCCCTGTCCAACAGCCCCATTTCTGAAGGGCATAACCTTTCATAGGCTGATTTGGCTCAGAAGACAACCCTTTCTTCTCTCTTTTCCTAGTTTTTGCCATCTACATTGGTATTGTTTTGCCTTTCCCTGGTCTGGATTGTACCACGCAGCATTATTGTGAAGGAAGAGGCTCAGAGTAATACTGACACAGACTGATGAGTCCTGAGTCTGGAGTTGGAGGCTGGGGTGTTGGGAAGAGAAAGGACAAGAAAGAAATTCAGACACAGAATAGAAATCTTATACTTGCCAGTCATAAAGAACATTAGAGAAAACACTGAACACTGACAGTTTGCCATTCCTTTTAGAAGCAAGAGTCTGTTTCCTGCTGAGTATAGGTCTGAGGCCTCCAGTGAACCCTGGTGGCCTACTTTCCATCTCTCCCAGGTATTCATTATCAACCTGCTTCGAGACATCAAGTATTTTCACTTCCGACCTGTGATGGACACATATATCCAGAAGCACTTTGCTGGAGCTCTGGCATACAAGTAAGTTGCATTTGGTATCATCATTAAGGCTTGTGTTTGAGCAGGAAGATAAGTTTTTTAAAAGTTTAGCTGCAACCACCTTTCGTTCAGCTACCTTTAAAGCTTTATTTTTGGTCAAGCATTCTTTAAATGTCTCGCTGCCTCTCCAATCTTAGCAAGGTGACTCCACCCTTTTTCTCTGATCTACTTTCCAAGTACATTTTCTCTAACCTAAAAAAAGCGCTATATTTTAAAATTGTGATAGTATACACATAACATAAAATTTACCATCTTAACCATTTTCTAGGTGTTTGGTTCAGTGGCATTAAGTACAATCACATAGTTGTGCAACCATCACCACAACTCCAGCCATCTACAGAACTCTTTTCATTGGAATACTGTAATCATTAGCAAAAACTCTCCATTCTCCCCTCCCCTGACCCACGACAGCCATCAGTCTACTTTCTGTCTCTGAATTTGATGACTCTAGGTACCTAAGGTACCTCTAGGTATGTAAGTGGAATCATATAGTATTTGTCCTTTTATGAGCATCTTATTTCACTTAGCATAATACCTTCAAGTCTCATCCATATTGTAGCATGTGTCAGAATTTTCTTCCTTTTAAGGCTGAATAATGTTCCAGTGTATACATTTACTACATTTTATTTATTCATCTATTCATCCATTGATGGACACTTGGGTCCCTTTCACCTTTATGAACATTGGTGCACGAATATCTCTTCAAGACCCTGCTTTCACTTCTTTTGGGTATATACCCAGAAGTGAAATGGCTAGATCATATGGTAACACTATGTTTAATTTTTTGAGAAACCACCATACTGTTTCCGTAGTGGTTGTATCATTTTGCGGTCCCACCAACAATGCACAAGAGTTCTAGTTTCTCCACATCTCACCAACACTTGCAGCTTTCTGTTTTTTTGGCAGTAGCCATCCTAATGGGTATGAAGTAGTATCTTTTTGTGGTTTTGATATGCATTTCCCTAATTATTAGTGATCTAGAGCATATTTTCATGTGCTTATTAGACATTTGTATATCTTCTTTGGAGAAATGTCTATTCAAGTCCTTCACCCACTTTTAAAAATTTTGTTGTAAGTTGTAGGAATTATTTATATAGTTACATGATTTGTAAATATTTTTCCCAGTCCCTAGGTTGCCTTCTCTATTGATTTTGTCCTTTGATGCAAAAAAGTTTTGGTATAGTTCATCTTACCTTTTTTTTTGTTGTTATTACCTGTACTTTTGGTGTCATATCCTAGAAATCACTGCCAAGTCCAGCATCAAGAAGATTCTCCTCTATTTTTTCTTTTAAGAGTTTTATAACTTTAGCTCTTACATTTAGGTATTTGATCCATTTTGAGTTAATTTTTGTGTACTATGTAAGAAGTGCCCAACTTTATTCTTTTTGCACATGTATATCCAATTTTCCTATTACCACTAATTGAAGATTTTTTTTCCCCATTGAATGGCCTTAGCACCCTTGTAAAAAAATCATTTGACCATATTTATGAGGCTTTACTTCTGGCCTCTTTTATTCCATTAATGCATATGTGTGTCTTTATGCTAATACAGCATTGTTTTGCTTGCTTGTAGCTTTGTAGTAAGTTTTAAAATGAAGAAGCATGAGACTTTCAACTTTGTTTCTCTTTCAAGATGGTTTTGGCTATTCTGGTTTCCTTGAGATTTCATATGAATCTTAGGACGAATTTTTCTGTTTCTGCAAAAAATGCTGTTAGAATTTGGGTGGAGACCATACAGAATCTGTCGATCACTTTAGGTAATATTGATATCTTAACAATGTTCCCGGGCTCAGTGGCTCAGCCTGTAATCCTGCGCCTTTGGGAGGCTGAGGTGAGTGGATTGCCTGAGCCCGTGGGTTCGAGACCCGCCTGGGCAGGCAAGACCTCATCTCTACAATAAAATCAAAAAATTAGCCGGGCGTGGTAGCGCATGCCCGTAATTCTGGCTACTTGGAAGGCTGAGGTGGAAGGATTGCCGGAGCCCAGCAGGTCGAGGCTGTGGTGGCTGGGAGTGGCCACTACACTCCAGTCTGGGCAACAGAGTGAGACTCCAACTCAAAAAATAAAATAAATAAATAAATAAAATAAAAAAATGTTAACTCTTTTATAAATACAAGATACGTTTCCATTTATTGATGTTATGTTTAATTTCTTTCAGAAGCTTGTATGTCTTTTTCCTTTATTCCTAAGTATTTTATTCTTTTTAGTGCTATTGTAAATGGAACTGTTTTCTTAATTTCCTTTTCAGATCATTCATTATTCGTGTATAGAAGTGGAATTGATTTTTGTGTGTTGATTTTGTGTCCTGAAACTTTGCTAAATTCATTTATTAGTTCTAACAGACTTTTTGTAGAATTTTTCCATTTAAGATTATGTCATCTGAAAACAGATAATTTACTTCTTTCCTATTTTAATTCCTTTTATTTGTTTTTCTTGACTAGATTCTCTGGCTAGGACTTCCATTACTATGGTGAATAAAAGTGGCAAAGCAAACATTCTTACCTTTTTTCTGATCTTAGAGGAAGGGCTTTCAGTCTTTTACTATTAGGTTTAATGTTAGCTGTAGGCTTTCGGTTACATAGTTGACATACTTTTATTTCTAAGAAATGGTGGTAAAGCCACTAAAGATAAGTATTGCTTTTTCTAGGAGAAACATGTAAATAGCTAAAATAGCATCCATAAATAAATGTCAAAGAAAATAAAAAGTCAGTCCATGAAAGTGATAATCTAACTAGTAAACAAAGAGAAGATACAGGTTATCTAAGACCATTAAAGCAATAAGAAGTCATCATTGTCAATAATTATGAATTACTGAAAACATATTTTAAACCCAGTGGTGGTGAAGTTATGGAGTTACTGGAACTCTGATACTCTGATGTCACTTTGGTGCACAGATTATGCTATATGCTTTATATGTGTCACCCTATCCATATTCACAATAACTTTGAGATGTACTGTTATTTCCCTCATATTTTAATCAGAAAGAAGGAGGCACAAAGGGATTAAATAACTTGCTCAAGGATGCAGAACTAGATATTGATAGACCCCCCCAGATGTGACCACAGCCTATATTCTTGATTTCTGTGCTCTGTTGCCATATAAATGAGCAGACCTTTTAACCCAGTAGTCCCATTCTACTAAGGTGACTTATTCCTAAGTAAATAATAAGATAGATGAGATGGAGCAGGGGGTAGGGTTAGGGGCTCATGGGACTGTACACTTTTATTCAGAGTCTACTACTTCTAGTCAGTGTTGGATATTCTAGTGAATAGCAATTTAAGACAAAGCAAAAGTATACATCTAGCCCAAGTCTTTGGGAAAATTTTCTTGTAATCAAAGAAGAAATGAGTATCAGGGAGAGTGGAGGGAAATGATTATAACTGCTGATTAAAATACAGCAATTCCTTATGGACAAGGAGTGTTTTCTGGTCTCAGATTATCTGAATATTCCACAACTGTAATGGATCCATCACTCCATTCTAGCTCATCAGCAGATTATTATTTCCTATTTGACTAATTCAGGATTGTAAACATTTCAGGTTGCATTTCTTTTGGATTAAAGTGAGATTTCTGAAACCATTCTCTTCCCCAGGGAACTCATCCGCTGTTTGAAGTGGTATATGGACTGCTCAGCAGAACTGATTCGACAGGATCACATTCAGGAAGCCATGCGGGTAATGTACTAAGCTCTCCATACACAAGGGGGCCCGCTCATGTAATTGTTTGTGCGTAATCTCAGTGGTATAGTGTGGAGGACAAGCGTAGACATTCTAGTACATTGAATGTGTATTGCTCTCAGAAGTAACTAGCTAGATCCACATAATTCCTCTTTCCTCACCTTGAATTTTCCCCAGAAGACCTTTATTCTTGATAATTTCACCTTACAGAAGGGGCAAGGGATGATGTGCACACACCTCCTAGTCATTCTTCCCTACTTGATTTTTACTAAGAGTGTCAGTCCTTCCTTCCACTGACTAAAATATTGCTAACTCTTTTTAAGCCAGGATTTGTGACAAAACTGATTAGAATTAAGATCTTCTAATATTATTATTTCCTGAGTGGAAGTACTGTATGTGGATATATTAAGAAAAAGAAACCTTGGTCTTAGGAAAAACCTGGGGTCTTACATGGTTGTGACCATTGCTTAGACACCCCTGCTTAGACTGGTTCCCTGATGAAGCAGCCCTTTGTGTTGCTGTGTGGCTCCATTTGACAGGGGACTGTCTTCATTGTGAGTTGACTCCACTGTCTGATAACTTCTTTTCATGGCTCTTGCTTCTGCTGTAAAGAAAAAGGAAGTACTTTTGCCTTTTTTTCTCTCATCTTTTAATATCATATTTTCTGTTCTAAGTGCTGGGCTTGTATTTTTGGGTTTTGTCCACATGGTAACAGGTATAACAGAATGTTTTCTCAAGCATCATCAGATTAAGGGGGCAAAAAGCATATCATAGATTCACATTTACCCTGCCTCTTCTTTACACATTCTGTAAAAATATGAGGCCACAAGTTTCATTTCTGTCTTCTTTCATACAAATGTCTACTGAGCAGGCACCATCTGTCCTGAGTGCTAAGGTGCAAAGATGAATAAGATCAGCCTATCTTCTTGAAGAACACATCCCCAGTGTCCGAAGGGGAGGCAGGCACAAATACAGTGTAAAGCAGAGTGCTGGGTGTGATTTGAGGGAAGGGTCTGGGTTCTTTTCTTTTTGGAAACTTAGCACCTGTCAGGGGCCTAACATGATATTTGAGGAGATAAATGTTGAGTTAAATGTAAAAGATTCTGTGTAAGCCCTCAAATTAATTGCTAAGTATACTAGATAAGGCATCACAGAAGATGGTTTTTCCTAAGAATCATTCATTCAGTCATTCATTTAGTCAATAATACTTGATACCCACCGTGCTTCGGACACTGTACAAGTCACTGGGGATTCAGCAGGGGCACAAACAAGGCTAAGCCTTCATAGTACTTCCATTCAAGGTCAGGGGGTAGGGTGGGGGAAAAACGTACAATAAACATGTAAAACAGATAAATATACAAAGTAATAAAAATTCCATTAGTAAAATGTAAAAAATAAAATTTGATAAATAATATGAAGAAAATAACAAGATCATGGAATAACCTGAATGGAAAGAAGGGATCAAGAGCTTGGGGAAATCTTCTCCAAGGAGGTGACCACTGAGCTAATGCTGGGGAATGGACATTCCAGACTAAGGAAACAGTATATTTAAAAGCCTAGAGAAAAGAACTTGGGTTTTCAAGGAACCAAAATACAATTGATGGGACTAAAAGGCAGGAACTTTCAAATTTTAGATTGGATGTGGAAGGTGAAGGAAAAGGAGAACTGAGGTTGATTCCAAGGGATCTAGCTAGATCATCTGGGTTGATGGCAGAGCCATTTATGGAGGCATAGAATTCTGGAAATCAGGTTTAGTTGGGGAAAAGGAAGAGTTCCATTTGGCAAAGCACTTTTCTGAGGTGTTTTCTTATTTAGTCTCACCATTTCAAATATATTGTTCTCTAATATATCCAACACTAAACTTTTATCTAACCATTTCCTCTTTATTATCAGATTTCAGTTTACAAATCCCCTTGGCCAAATTAGTAAGTCTCCATCCATCCTGTTTTCATCCCTCTTCACAGGATACATGCTTCTGGCCTGATACCTCTTATTTTGGTATCATAAGCTATAGATGAGGAAACTTCTTTATTACTCTTAACTCTTGCCACTCATAAGCTCATCTTTTCCTTTCACTTTCATAATCATGACCTTTAAGAAAAGTTCAACTGCTAAAGAAGATGAAAACAAAAGTTCTTTATTTCTTACTTGATTATATCATTTATTCACATGTATGGGACGTGTAGGGAGTGTCGTTGTGGATTTGAGAATGGCACCTGGCAAGGTATTCTAAAACAGCACACTTTTCACTGCTGAGCTACATCGATTCCTTAGCCACAAAACTGCATTTCCAAAACCAAATGCTAGGATAGCCAGTCTGACCTTCCCCTTTAGATTTTTTGATTTTATATGCTTAAGGCACTGGGCTCTCAACTTTGTCGACAGATTCACGTTCTATCCTATGCGTGCCACACTTTTGATGAATGTTTCTAGGTTTTAGCATAGTTTTCTTTTTCTATGTGACTTAACTGAGGAAACCATCCTGATTTCTGTAGCTTGCTCCAAGGAGATCTGTTCTATCCTTTACCTATAAGTATTCCAGGGTATCAATGAACATTGGCACTGTCCCTCCTTTATCCTCAGCTAAGCACAGCAAGTCATTTTAATTGTACAGAACGAAAATATATAAAAGGGAAGGTCAAGCCTGCTGCCTAGCATTTGGTTTAGGAAATGCAAAGTTTATATTTTTATTCTGACAGAAAATACCTCTTACTTTAGTGATTTTAAACTGGCATAATATAGTAAATAAAGCTGGCTCAGAACTGTATATTTTCTTATCATGGACCTGAAGAGTCACCATGAAGCAAAGAATTGAGTATCACATGTTCTTACTCATAAGTGAACCTTGAACAACTATCATAATACCATAAGAAAAGGATTGACAATAGCAGGAAACTGCAGGGGTGGGGGTGGAGGGGCGGGAGGTGGGATTGGCAGTAATGAGAAACTGCCTGGGGAAGTGGGGGGGGCACACCTCATCAACAAGAATACCTGCACAATGAATATTTGTATCCCTAACCCTGAATTGTACTCCACAATTTTAAAATTAAAAAAAAAAAAACAGGGATGCTGGAACAGTGGCAGAATCTAGTTTGTAAGTATCTGGACTTAAAAATTAACAAACTTTTCAGGTATTTATTTATTTATTTGAGTTGGAGTCTCACTTCATCACCCAGGCTGGATGAAGTGGCATGCTCACGGAACTACAGATGCGCTCTACCACACCCAGCTAAGTTTTTGATTTATTGTAGAAATGAAGTCTTGCCAAGTTGCCCAGGCTGTTCTCAAACCAGTGGGCTCAGGCAATTCTCTTCACCTTGGCCTCCCAAAGTACTGGGATTACAGCTTGAATCATCGCACCCAGCCCTCAGGTTCTTTATAAACCAGACATTAAAAGACTACTAGAACAGAGGCTGTAGTATTTATGGAGATGAGGCCACACACTAATTTCTTCTATAGAATCTTCTGGTGCAAGCCCTGGAAGACAAAGTTTTCTAAACTAGCATTCCCCAGAGCCAAATGAATTTTGTGTGGGCCACAAAATATTAAGTTCTGCTTTACCAATTCTTCTGACAGATGGATAGATCAGGAAAGGTAGCTTGTGAATTGTTTCCTTTTTTTACATTTCATGTAACTGAGTTCTGTTTTTTTCATCCTTGGATAAGTTTCTCTCCATTATCTCTGCCTTTTCAATGTCTGAGAAATCTATGACATTTCTTTGATTAGAAAACATAGTCTTGGGTTTTGAATCTTTCTCTTAAAAGAGAATTACTGTGCTTGTAAGCACAGGCCAAGCTGCAGGGAGTCCTCAGAATCAGATTCTACTCCTAAACCTTCTTATGGAAGCTCTGTTTTCTGTATTGTTTATGGCAGATATCCTGGTTGGAAAAGGGCTGGAGAATGCATATGCCAGAATTACCAGCTACTGTGCAGACTTCTGTGGCCCTTGGTGAGAAGGGAAGCACTAAGTCAGGTCCCAGCTATATCTCAAAGATGCAGGAGATTCTTGAGTCTGAGGACTCTTGAGTCCTTTAGGACTCTTCCTTCTTGCAGTAAACTCAAGAGTAGCTCTTATATCCTTGCTTTTTGAGCCTTTTATTTCCAGACCAGAAAAAAAAAGAAAATACAGAGATGCTTAACTTTTTAAATCCTAAACATTCTTGAATTCAACTATTTCTGTAACAGTCTATGGCTTCTTAAATCCAGAACCTCAGAAAACAGTTGTGAAAATAAGAAGACAGTTGAGTGACAGCTGGGATATTTGAGAAGAAGTTTTTTAAAAAATTAAGTACCTGATTCTATAGTTAAAATTGCCCATCACTTAATTTTTAGTGTAGAATTTGCTGTTATACTGCCCTTAGTTTTCTGCTATGTGAGTTTCCCAGCAGCTTCACTTTTTCTCCCACACTTTCCAGGCCTTGGAGTATCTTTTCAAGTTCATTGTACAGTCACGGATCCTGTATTCACGAGCTACATGTGGAATGGAAGAGGAGCAATTCAGATCCAGCATCCAAGAACTTTTCCAGTCCATCCGGTTTGTGCTCAGTCTGGACAGCAGAAACTCAGAAACACTCCTTTTCACTCAGGTCTGTGAGCTGCAGGGAAGCTTTGCTGCAGGATTCCTTATGTCTCTTAGCAGGTGGTTTCTTTTTCCTTTTTCCAGAGTTGAAAAAACCCTGCCAGGATCCAGTGTGTTGGATAGGGGGTGATTTCCAAGGAAATACCTGATAGAACAAAATGCTACTTTTACTTCAAATCTAGCTATGCCTCAACTGCCAGATATAAAACATCTCAGTGACTTTATGTTGGAGAAGAAACTCATATTTGTTCTTGGGAACCCTCTTTAAGACCAAATTTATTTAGCTACCAAACTGTTTAGATTTTTACCAACATCTTATTCATAGGGATATTCAGAATGTATAGGATATTTTGTTTTCTAATTAACCATTGTATTAGTTTTAAAAAACTTAAATTAGTACTTGTACATTCCAGAAGTTAGGTGAAATAAATTGAAAAACAGTGGGAATAACTAGAAAGCTTTGGCTAAGAATTGGGATTAGTTTCTATTGGAAATATCAGTATGGAAGGAAATTTGCTTTCTTATATTAAAACTGCCTGGACAGCTAATCTATTGCCTTTTCAACACAGCCTCACCCTAAAATTAATCAAAGATTAATTATCCCAGTCACAATGGGGGTTACTTTTCCTTATAAAATGAATGTAAGCATTTTATCTAGCAAAAGTTCTTTGGCTTTTTGAAGCCAAATGTTTCACTAAAATTTTCAGCAAAGATCAGACAGCCTTGCTCATATTCATTCAGTCAGTCACTGCCAGGTGTATTGTTAGTGCAAGTGTATTTAACTCTGTCTCATTTAGGATTAAAATAGTCCACTCTTTTGTTTTCCACTTGCCCATGATTCCAATTGTCTGTAGACCCCTCAGTCCAGAGGACAGGTGATCAACTGGGAACTAGACTCCATAAGGAAATATCCCCCAAGGTTTCCAGGTACCTCTGTAAGAAAGACTCCTTTTATGATCTCCCCTCCTAACTATCCCAAGCATTCATCTACCTCTCCTTGCCCCTCCTGCAGCCAATATGTTCCTTCCTGCAGGGGCCAAAGACACCTACTCTTCCTCTCATCCAAAAAAGAGACATGTAGAGATTGGAGGTAGCTAGCAGAGAAAGGCAGATATGTTTTTTGGAAGCCTGGGAACTTGGCAATGCTCTGTACTCAATGGCACACTACTACCACATCAAGATAAATAGCTTAGACCTGGCCTCAGCTAAGACCTGTGTCAGGATCAGACTTTTTCTGGTGCAAGGCTCACGTTTCATGAGTTTCAGAACTCTCAGCAAATATGTTATTCAGTTTGACTTTATATCTTTTATTATCGCCAATAGAAGATGTCAAGGCGTGAGTGTCCTTCTGGTGCATAAGTGTAGGAAATTTCATCGTTTAAGAGAGTAAATCAAATTATTGCATTTCCTGGGGAAATGGTTCAGCTCTCAGAGCTGGATTCCTGGCTGCAGGAACTCTGTGAGCAGAGTCAGCTGGTGCTCCTTGAAGGCACTCAGTTCCTGCTGCCATACGTTTTTTGAGGGGTTCCTGGCTTAAGCCTGGAACCAAAAATAGAAAGTCAAGACCTGATCATAGATATGAACAAAAAATATCTATGGATCATAAGCCACATTGAGCAGATTTCTCTTTATACCCTGTTCTCTTGCCAGAAGATGCCTTGGCAAGTTATAACAAATTCAAGGTGCCTGGACCCAGTGAATTCTCTTGTTTTGATTTCCTTTTTGGTTCTTCTTGTTTTATGCCCTGGGAGTGCTATAGTACTGGGTTAGGTCAAGGACCATGGAGGAGCCCCCAAGCCAGGAGTACTACGATGCCTTCTTTACCTCTCACCACTTTTTGTCATTGTTTGAGCATGCAAAAAAGGCCCACACCTAACTCTGAGCTAACCACAGCTTTACTTGCTTCTGCAGGCTGCACTCCTCAATTCTTTCCCTACCATCTTTGACGAGCTGCTACAAATGTTCACTGTGCAAGAGGTGGCAGAGTTTGTAAGAGGGACACTGGGGAGCATGCCCAGCACTGTGCACATTGGGCAGTCGATGGACGTGGTCAAACTGCAGTCCATTGCCAGAACAGTGGACAGCCGCTTATTTTCTTTCTCAGGTAAATCAAGTTGGGATACGAGTCAAGCTCACCTTTCCTCCCTCTCGGGTGTGATAACCAAGTAGTTATTAAAGGATCTGTTTTAACAACCACTATGCAAGAAACCACTGATGCTTAAAGTTCAGAATTTCTGGTAAACTACGTTAGAGAATATAGCCAAGACCTATCCCTACTGCCTTACTTGCAGGTTATTCCTGGAGACCAACAGCCTAGGGTACCACCCTGGTGGTATCTTAGTCCATTCAGGCTGCTGTAACAGAATACCATAGACTAGGTGTCACATAAACAACAAATATTTATTTCTCACAGTTCTGGAGGCTAGAAAGTCAAAGATCAAGGTACCAGCTGATTCATTGCCTGGTGATGGCCCACTTCCTGGTTCGTAAGTGACCATCTTCTCTCTGTGTCCTCGCATGACAGAAGGGCAAGGGAGTTCTCTGGGATCTCTTTTTTAAAAGGGCACTAATCCCACTCATGAGGGCCCTGCAGTCATGACCTAATCACCTCCCAAGGGCCCCATTCAAAATTCCATAACAGTTGGGGAATAGATTGCAACATGAATTTGGTGGGGGACACAAACATTCAGTCTATAGCAGGTGACCTTCAGAACAATCTCCAGGCCCACAACTGCCAAGAATGGAGCCTACCACACCTCCAGCAGGATGGGAGGACAAAGAGAAAGGAAGGAGAGCACAAGAGATGGGTCCAGCCAAGGGGATAAGGATAAGCCAGGAAAATAAGAGAGGCCCTGAAGGGGACTCTGAGGACCCTGTGCTTTCTTGTTTCCTTGCTGCACCAGTCAAATAGATTTATTTTCCTCTCTTTGGAGGATCCACTAAGGATTAGGGAGAAATGGACAGGGAGCCCTCCACACTTCCCGAGGAGTGGACAACCTAACTAACACATCAACATCCCAGTATGCCTTTCAGAAAGAACCTCTTGATTAACTCCTGAAACCACACATGTTGGCAAGTTCTGCCTTGCAGAGGCACTAAATACTCAATGGCCTAATATTAAGATCAATATGAGCCTGATCCTTTAAGTATAATATCATATCCTAGAATAAACTTCTGGGCACATAAATAAATCTGAAACACTAGCAAGACAATTATCATTAGAATTTTTATAATTAGAATTTTTAGTAGTTAATTTTTTAGGTTTGACTTTCAAGGTATAAGAACAATAATTTAACAGCTCAGTGCTACACACATTTGCAACCCTACATAGATGTTCCCATTGACTTACTTCTGCCAATGTATGGCATTACCAGTGGTAAAGCTGACACCAAGAAAGTCATCTCTTCTCCACCAGCAACTGTTTATGGTAAGCACTTCTCTTTTTTCCAGCTTCTGGTTTGAAGATTTTATCAATGGTTTGGACACATTGCCACAGAGGCCACAGCACACACTCTAGCTTTTTATACTGCTTAAAGTAGATGTCTTTGGAATATATAGAAAGGGTAACAGCAGACTGCCCCCACTGACATACTTTATTTCTAATGTTTGTGCATGTACTTGCTGCTTCACACAATCACTTTAGAAACATTTTTCTTAAACTTTATGTGGCATTGGACAATGTAATTGGATTTTGGATGACAAGGCTACCACCAGAATTTCATTTGCATCTCACTTTCATTGAATGCCTGAGTTGTAGCATCTCTCTGAAGCAAGACGTCTTGATTAGTGATGTCATTTAACCAACACTTATATTCTCAGAGCACAGAAATTTGGTCTCTTCTTCAGTAGAGTAATTTGTTCTTCTGTAACAAACTACTGTTTTGTCTGCAAGCAGCTATTGGTTGTTATAAATCCTAACTTCTTGGTATTTTGAGCTACAAAATACAAAATCATTTTTTTTTAATCCAAGCAGCCTTTTAAACCTAGATTAGCTGTTATTTCATTCTGTTTTAACATATTTGATGAGGCAGTGCCAAACGTCTTATATGTCATGTAATTTGTCTTTGAATGAAGAAAATTTTCTTTCTGAGCTTCATGTGGAACACTTAACTATGGTGAAATATGAACAATAAATCCAAAATGCCATGGATCATTTATGTTACTGATAGTGTGACTAAATCATGCTGGCCAGGTATGATGGTACCTGAAGGGTCACACAATCACTGACCACATAGGAGTACAAGGTACCAAAAACATTTTCACACCAGTATTTCTCTTTGTCTTCTAACCACCCCTGAGAAGTAAATGTAGAAGAGACCATTAGCACCCCATTCTACAGATGTGGAAAATCAAGCCCATGAGAGGAATCAACTTACCTAAGGTGTCAGAATGAGCTAATAAGGGAACTTAAACTAGGATTCAGCCTTCTTGAATTCACGGTTCTAAATATAGTCACCTTCTGATGAAAATGCTATTCTATTAACATTGGAAGAAGAAAAAAGAAAAACATTTGAAGTATGTGGTAGGATTAGTGATAAGCATTGGCTAACTATCAAAGTTTTGTGAAAAAACAAAGGTCATACTTCTATTATTGCTGTGGAAACACTGAGCAGCAATATGACAAGCTGTGGGGGAAAGGGAACAGGACTTATAGCTGTGGCAAGGTAAATGCTCAGAGGGGTGGGAGTGCCAGGCCACCTAGCCAGGGTATGAAGTGGAACAATCTATAATCTATGTTAAGTCTGCAAGTTCAGTCAAGGTGGTTCGTACTAAGTGTGTCATCTAAGTGGAGTTTTTACTGTAAACTGTGGTTTTAATTTAGAGTCTAATTAGTAAAAAGATTTCATTTGAAGAAAAATATTTCATTTGGAAGCAAAACTCCTAACATTCATCTTGTACAAAATGAGAATTAAGGAAAGATTCATGGGATGGTTTATAATCTCCAGGCAGCAGGCCCTTTAAAGGGAAGCAGAATACTTCCACCTTTGCTCTGGTCTTAACCTCACCTGCTCTGAGACTAGCTAAGTCCCACAGTGCCACTGGTTTCCAACAGTAGCTAATTCTCCTCTGACGGGCTTCTTCGCCTTTGTTTTTTCTCTTCCAGAATCCCGCCGCATCCTACTTCCTGTGGTTCTTCATCACATTCACCTTCACCTGAGGCAGCAGAAAGAGCTGCTAATTTGCTCAGGGATTCTCGGCAGTATCTTCTCCATCGTCAAGACCAGCTCTCTGGTAGTGACCCTACACCCACTCTACTCTGCTCAGCTCTGCCCTAGTCTTGTGCTACTTTAGTCAGAAGCATACCAAAAAATTACTTTGTACATTCCTCAGTCAGATATGCTTTCATCAGTGACAGGAAGGTGTCCAAGTAGGTGAAGACCCAAGCATGCTGAAAAAGTTTCTCAATACAACACATTCGTGCTATTTTAAAATGTTGCACTGCAATAAATCTACCCAGAAATATAATTATCTGTAGTACCAGAAAGCCCAATTCTTTGCTATGCATTGTTTCTATCAAAAGGTTTTAATTCTATACTCCTGGGAGTTTTCTAAGGATACTCAGGCATGAGCATAGGAAGGCAGGCCCAGACTGAAAGCCAGCTTGCTCACTCAGACTTTTCTATCAGCTTCCTGATAGCTTGAGTCCACCCATATGGCATTCCTATATCGTGCCAGATGAGGTCAAGATATATAAGAGGTAAATGTTTCCCACAAGGGCTCTGAGCCCTGTAGGCTGGTAGAATTGTACTTTAGGGGTCAAATTTCAACTGATAATGATTTTTCCCATTTTCTTTCCTCGTTATTTTTTATTTTCAAAAGAGATTTGTGGTAGGAGGGGAGGGATTACAGTAGGGAAGGAGTGAAGAAAAGACCTATATCGGACACAGGTGATGGTAGAAATTTATTTCATATATTTTTGATAATAGAAGAAAAGCACATTATAGAAAATTTGGAAACTATAGGAAAGTATGAAGAAAGTAATGAAGAACAAGGATGAGTTTTTTAATATACCATTTTATTAAGTTAAAGTTTCTAAAGAATAAACTTTCAAGTGCATTTAAAATAAAGGCCAGAGGTCAAGTGATAAGAACACATGAAACCAGGCTATTCACATGGATCAAGAGAAGAACCTAAAAAGAATAACGTTTTGTTTGAGCAGGAGACAGGGACCCAATAGGGTATTCTGGTGTGCAGACTTCAAGTACCATTTGGTGACAGGGACCCAGCTTAACCAAAAATGACTATGATGGTAAGAGTGTCATTTGCTCTTGGCTCCAGGCAAGACTTGGCAGCTCTTCTTTACCCCAGAGCTCAGAGAAGCTACAATAAGCACATAAGGTCTACTAGGAACCCAAGGTTGTATCTGAGAGGGTGGGAAGCTTATTGCTAAAAGGAGAGAAATTGAAACAAAGAAAGGGGAAGGATGGAAGAGGCATGGAAATCAGTGAAAGCCTGGAGGAGATGGTTTAGTTGTATTTGTAGGGCTAGGGAAAAGCAGTGTAATTATTATTTACAGCTACTCAAAGATATATCACAGGTAAGAGTGTTATGATCAGTTTAACATATGGGAAAGACAACTTTGGCCTCAAGAATGCTCAATTCTTCATGTGGAATGGGACAGAGTATAATTATATTGAATGGATGAGTAGAAGGAAGATAAAATTTAAGCTCAATGAAAGCAGAGATATTAGCTCTCTTGTTCACCTCTATATATTCAACTTCTCAGTGACTGGCACATGATAAATTCTTAATGAATGATAGATTGATGGATGGATGGAGGATAACATTAGGACCAGTAATAGTATAAATATCTTACAGAAGAAGCAATAGAAATCTCTTTGTGAGGTAATTAAACTTATGCTACAGAACTTGAAATGTATGTGAGAGCTCTATAATAGGATAACACAGACTCTTCTGAAATTAGGAAGCAGCCGTTAGTGAGGACACGTGTCCATTGTTTTTGTAACAGAGCCAGAGAAAGATGCACTGAGACTAGAGTCTTTCAGCTGGACCAGGGAACACAAGTAAGAGAGCTGAGGAGCTAAAAACGGGACCCAGGCATATCTGGGAAGCAGTCAGGGATGGCAAAAATTGAGGGCATCGGGGTACTCAGAAAGATGAGCTACTTCTGTGTGCATTAGCACTAGTGAAAGTGCTGCTACCACATCCTATGGTGTGAATTCTTTACCATTTTTCAAACTTTATTATTTCTCAAAGTATCAATAGAGTTGTGCTTTTACCTGACTGTTGCAGATAAATCAAGGAAAACATCCTTAACTCAGGATCTTTTTGATAACTTTCTGTGTATCAAAATTAATATATCTGCTTGAGATTCAGAATTATGAATCATGCTGGATTAGGGTAAGGCCCAAGCCACCATGCTAGCGCCGTAGTGGCAGATGTGCTTCCCCTTCTCTCAGAGTCATTGTCCTGGGTTTCTTGACACTGCATGTTGATGATACTTGAGAGCTCGATGTTGAGAAACCAGTCAGAAGACCACTCCAGCTGTGGTTGACTTAGTAACTGCTACCAGCTGTACATCAGCCTGGCCTGATGCTAATGGTGTGCTCTCTCGCTGCTCGCTCCAGGAGGCAGATGTCATGGAGGAAGTAGAGATGATGGTGGAGAGCCTCCTGGACGTGCTCTTGCAGACTCTGCTCACCATCATGAGCAAATCGCACGCTCAGGAGGCGGTAAGAGGGCAGCGGTGCCCGCAGTGCACAGCCGAGATCACTGTTAGTAACTAACATCCAGGTTTTCTTGCTTTCTTTTCTAACCTGGGGCTCCTCCACACCACCCCCATCTCACCATCTGACCACCTTCATCACAGTCTCCCCTCCTGCATGGTTGTCAGCATGCTCCCTTCTTCCTTCTCGAACTGACTCCTTTCTCCACTCTGAAAACTCTAGTTTCAAACTTCTAGGAGTCTTCTTTAGAATAGATTCAAGGAATGCTTCTTTCCTATTTTCTTACACACTGTTTCAGTTGGCCTTTGCCTTTGAGTCAAGTCATTTTCTATATTGTGGAATGATGCAGGAATGCATTAAGATGCAGTAGGATGTTAAAGGTGGAAAAGAGACTATTTTTTCTAGGAACCCTCTCACACAGGCTCTCCTAAAATGATGTTGAGGACAGAATAATTTTCCCAGAATTGACTTATTTCTGTAAATTAGTTGCTTTGGTCTGTAGTGTTTGAATCTAAATTTCTAGCATCAGAAGAAATGGGATGAGGTATAGTTTCACTGGCATTACTGGAATGATGGTTTTCTATGATCTGATTAGAAGAGAAACAAACTGTAAAATCCTTTCAGGAGGGGCAGAGCAACAGTGCCTTGGGCCCCTCATGCCCCAACTCTCATACCCAGAGTGAACTTCTCAGCCCTGAGGTGGGAACATGATAAGCAGTTTTCATAGAATCTTTCAGGTGGCAGATGGGAGATTACAATGATCTCTTTGAAGAAAACCCTATGTGGGAGCAAGCCAAGCCACAGCGTACTAGGGAGAGGCAGGAGCCCACAGGGAGCAGGTATGTGTTCTGGAGCATTGGGCTTAGAAAGAGTGTCTGCTTTCTTAGGAGCCCCTGTTGAGGGTACTCTCACTGGAAGTAAAAAGCATATGCACCCTGGCATGTCCTGGTAACCGAGCCTTCTAACCAATACTTACACAGGGCTTGCTGTGGGCCAGACCCTGCTTTAGGAACTTAACCAATATTAGCTCATTTTGTAGCACTAATGAAGTGATTCATTTTATAGATTATAATGAAGATGATAATAACTATAATTTATTGAGCACCTTTTATGTAATGGGCTTTGTGCTTAAGTGCTTTATATAAATTAGTTCATCTGACCTTCACAACAAATGAATTATGACTTATTTTGCCCATTTTTCAAATAAAACTGAGGCTTGTGTACATATTTTGCATACATATATGTGTAATAATTTCAGGGATATAGAAAGGTTTTGAGAGACTAAAAACTATTGTCAATTTCCCATGAGTTTATAAACATTTGAAAATTGTCCAAGTAAAGTAATTTTTCCTTCCCTTCTGAGGAAACAACCTTGTAGGAGAAAGCCATGCTTGTCTGCTCCATGCCAAAAATTGCTGTAGGATGACTTTTTTGGAGACCATAAGGCAGAATTTTTCTCCATATATCCCAATTAGAACTTGAAGACATTTTAAAATCTGATATTTATTATTAAATTTTTACTTTTCTTAAATCCCATACCTTGTGCTCTCAGAAAGATCAGTTTTAATTCCTCTACCTTTCAGAAAGTCATGTTGATCTGCTGTGTTCCATTTGCCTGGTCTAATAACCCCGTGCAAATTTTAGGAGGTCTCCAAAGAGATTCTTGTAGAAGAGCTACTCCAGCCCAACAGGATGGGCAGGTCCAAGTTCTATCCTGAAAATATCAAGCTTCCCCCTGTTCCAAGTAGCCCTTACAGACTTCAGTACAGTGCCTTGGTAACAAAGGACTATTTAACCAAAGCTTTCCTAGTAAAAGAAGGAAAATATTTGTCTCACTTCGCAGTACTACTTTGTTATAGGTTAAGGTTTTTCAATAGCCCCATGCTGCTAAGGTCTTACTGAAACTCCTAAGGCCTCCAAGGCCTCCCTTGCAGAAAAGAAAGCTCATTTTCAGGGCCAGAGTTATCACCTTTCTTCCATGATCATTGGGGCCATCTCAGACCCTCCCTTCTCTCCTTGCCCTCTATGGATTGGGGGAACACAATGTGTTTATGATTGGCTGTGCTAATTGTTTTTTGGCTTCATCCCCAGGGTGAGTATGTGTCCTGCCTTCTCTCACTGCTCCGCCAGATGTGTGACACGCATTTCCAGCACCTTCTGGACAACTTCCAGAGTAAAGATGAACTCAAGGTACGCAGCAGAGCACTGACCTTTCATTCAGAAAAGGAAGTGTGCAGCTAAGACTGCCTAGGGGCTTTTATAGTTAATGTTTTTTGTTTGTTGTTTTGAGTTGGGGTCTCACTGTCACCCAGGCTGGAGTGCAGTGGCACACTCATAGCCACCCCAGCGTCAACCTATTGGGCTCTGGTGATCCTTCCACCTCAGCCTTCCAAGTAGCTGGAACTACAGGCATGCGCTACCATGCTGGCTAATTTTTTATTTATTGTAGAGACTAGATCTCACTCAAATTACCTGGGCTGGTCTCGAACCCATGGGCTCAGGCAGTGCACTCTCCTCAACCTCCCAAAGCGCTGGGATTACAGGCTAAGCCACCAATAAATGTTTATTTTTTAATCACAGCAGCATGTGTACATAATTTTAAAAGCCAAAGCATTCTACAAAGCTCAGAGTATAAAATACTACTCTTTAGGCTAAGATGGGAGGATCACATGAGCCCAGGAGTTTGAGTCCAGCCTGGGAAACACAGCAAGACTTCAACTCTTAAAAAACATTTTTAATTAAAGAATTTAAAAAGCAGTAGTTTCCTGGCTCAGTCTGATTAATGTCCAGTCCCTACTCTCCAAAGGCAGCCACTTCCAACTCTTTTGCTTCTGCTATTTTTTAGCTGTTAATTGTTAGTTATTACTATTTTCATCTTTCTATGGAAAATGAAGATAATTCTCCTGAGTCATTCCTCTCACACGCACATATGACCTTCCTCCTATTCTTCCAATGTAGTTTTAGTGTATTTTTGTTAAAATGTATTATGGTAAATTTTGTTTAAATTTATTATAGCTAGTTAAGAACTGTGATGAGCTAAGAATTCTACTATTATTATATTTCCTTTCTTGGAGAACTTTCTTTTCACAGAAATTAATTGCTTCTTATTTGCTAGTTTTTTTGTTTTGTTTTGGCCTTCATATCTGGCTAGGATTTTCTACTCTTACAGTCATCTTTCTAATATACCTCTTCTTCCAACTTTCCTCATGGTTAGATCTGTCAGATGTATCAGATGTCAGGTCATTTTTTTTCCATGGAGATTTGCCCTCCTGTTTGTTGTTGTTGTTGTTGTTTTTACTCTAAATAGTTTTATTTTTTCATTTTATAGTTTTTTTAAAGGGTTTTATTTCCAAGGACTATGGATTTTGCCTCTTGTGAGAAAAGGCTCAGGAATAGCCTCTGAACCAAGGACCCCTGTTTTTATTTGTTTCAGACTCTTTATTTTGTTTCAGAAACTTTCCTCCTACATGTAGAGACTCCTGGATGTTAATCTGTCTCTAAAAGTGAAGTTCACTGATGCTGGTTAGAAACTCTATGTATGATGGATGGGGCTATCATTAGCAGGCTTCTCTGTAGATGGTCAAAGAGGATCTGGGCTCTTGTTCATAACATCCCTGATTCTTATATCTGTAGGCCTGTTCTCTTAGACGTGTTCATTTTCCAGGTAATTATCTTCCACATCTCCTGGGGATGGAGTAGCCTACCAATAGTTTGAGAACCAAGTAGCAAAAAGGGGCTGTTAGTCTTCCAGTTCAGCAAGTAAACTTTCTCTAAATGCCTATTTTTATTGTTACCTCAGCCCTCAGCTGCTAATATGTCCTTGAGGACAGATTCTAAGTACTCAACAGAGAATAGCCCTTAGTCTTCTGAAAGGGCAGGGAAAGACTGATTAGCTAGTGACATGAGATAGCAAAGGGGATGGCAGGGGACTTTCAACTAATCTTCCTATTTTTAGCCCTCATTCCTAAGACTCATAGAGGTGTCTGGTGGTGCTTCCAATTTGTGTGCCTTCCTAAAATTCTTGCTTCATGTTGCTTTCACCCCCAAAGGTTCTTGGCTATTGGCATTCCCCAATCTATTAAGTCAGTTACCACAATGTCTTCTTTTTTAAGTCTTTAATTTTTTTTTACCTTATTTGCTTACTAACTTCTCCTCTCCTATTTTCTTTGTGTCTGTGAGCATATGCATTTCTCTTTCTTTTCTTTTTTTTTTGAGGGGGGAGGGGTAGGGGGTAGGGGGCAGGATATTGCTCTGTTGCCCAGGCTGGAATGCAGGGATGTAATCATAGCTCACTACAACCTTGAATTCCTGAACTCAAGCTATCTTCCTGTCTCAGCCTCCTAAGTAGTGGGAATATAGGCTTGTGCCACTACACCCAGCTAATTATTGTTGATAGAGGGGGGTTCTTGCTATGTTGTCCAGGCTGGTTTTGAACTTCCGGGCTCAAATGATCCTCCCACCTGGGCATGCTTTTCTTTCTTGACTGTTGTTGTAGGGGATTTGAGGAGAAGCAGAAATGAGGAAACATGTTCAGTTCACCACATTGAATATGGAACTTTGTACATGTGTTCTTTTTTATGGCAGCATCATTGGGATATAATTTGCATACCATAAAATTCATACTTTGGAAGTTAGTGTCTCTGACAAGTAATAAGATCAATATAACAATTTAAAACTTCCCACCAAGAAATATCCAGATGCCTTAATTGGTGACCTCTACCAAATTTTTGAAGAAAAATTCCGATCAGTCCTTCATAAACTCTTCCAAAAATTAGAAGAGGAGGGAGCATTTCCTAACTCATCTTATGAGGTCAGTATTGCCCTGATACGAAAACCTAACAGATATCACAAGAAAAAAAACCTAAAGACCAATACCCCTTATGAATAAAAACACAAAAATCTTCAAGGAAATACTAGCAAATGCAATCCAGTAACATGTAATCTAGTAAAAGGTTGTTATCCCACGAACAAATGTAATCCAATAAAAGGATTTTATCCCATGATCAAGTGGGATTTATTCCAGAAATGCAGGGTTAGCTTAACATATAAAAATCAGTCAAGCAAGCTTCTGCCAAGCCAAAGAAACCATCAAGAGAGCAAGGAGACAGACCACAGACTGGGAAAAAGTATTTGCCAACTCTAGGTCTGACAAAGCCCTAACATCTTGGATCTACAAGGAATTCAAACGTGTTGAAAAGAAAAAAACAAACAACCCCATTACAAAGTGGGCAAAAGAATATCTATCCTAAACACATATGCACCCAACATAGGTCTGCCAACTTTCATAAAGCAACTTCTAGGAAAACTAAAGAAAGATATTGACTCTAACACCATCATAACTGGGAACTTTAATACCCCACTCACAACCCTAGACAGATCATGAGGACAAAAAATCACCAATGAGATCCGGAACCTCAATTTGACTCTTGACCAAATGGACTTAATTGATATCTACAGAACAATCCATCCAAAGACCACAGAATACACATTCTACTCATCACTGCATGGAACGTATTCTAAGATCGATCACATAATTGGCCATAAATCAAGCATAAGCAAATTTAAAAGGACCGAAATTTTACCATGCACCTCCTCGGATCACAGTGTAATGAAAATAAACATTAACACCAACAAGGTTCCCCCAAAACCCACAAAGACATGGACACTAAACAGCATGATGCTAAACAACAAGAAGAAATTGAGACCCTAAATAGACCAATAACAATCAAGGAAATTGACTATGTAATAAGAAAACTACCTACAAAAAAAAGCCCTGGACCAGATGGCTTTCCAGCAGAATTCTACAAGACATTTAAGGAGGAGCTGATTCCAATCCTACTGAAAGTATTTCAGGCGACTGGGAAAGATGGAACTCTTCCCAAATCATTTTACGATGCTAACATCACATTGATACCCAAGCCAGGTAAAGACCCAACAAAGAAAGAGAACTACAGGTCAATATCTTTGATGAATATAGGTGCTAAAATTCTCAACAAGATCCTAGCAAACTGGATTCAACAACACATCTCAAAAATCATCCATCATGACCAA